TAAGCCCTGTGCCCTGGCTCGCCCTTCGAGGGCTGCTCACTAAGCCCGCACCACATACTTATTTTGGAGGCAGCTACATGTCCCACAGGCTCACGGCCAAGCCCCCTGTGGCAGCTCTCGTGTCGTGTCAGCAGTTTGGAGATAAAGCAAAGGCACCCTTTGGCAGAGGCACAGGACTGGGAGCAGTGACGCCTTCTCACCATCGAGGCTGTTCCCAACAGCCCACGAGAGCCAGCCCTCCTTCCTCTGGGCGAGATCAGATGAGCACTTGAAATTTGTATCGCTGTGCTAAGCTCGTGATACAAATTAATCAAAAATCACTAAGGGCAATACTGATGATTTTTGAGACTTGTGCACATGCTTCTGTTTTTCAGTCTAACCAGCAATACAGCTTCCACCAGTTAGCAGCTAGTCCTGGTTTCATCAAAATTGTGTAGCATACACTCTCCATTACCAGACTTATCCGTTTTCTACAGGAAAAAGAAATACGGAGTGATCTGCAACCAGAGATTAAATTTTAGTTAGTAAAAGTTCAAATGCCACCCCCTCTTTTTTTTTTTTTTTCCTGGCATCAGCCAGCTTGTAAACTTAGCTTGGACTCTTGAAAATGAAACTGGACTAGAGTTCTTCAACGTGTGCAGGTGAAATCCTGTAACGTATTTACTGTCCTCCTACTCTCTATACATTAAAACACTTAAAATGTTACCAGTCATTTACAGGCGCACAAGCCCTATATTCTTCCGAGCAAGTCAACAGGCGTACGGGTAACTAAATAAGTCAATCAGATCACAGGATGTACAAGCAATAAATTTGCATGATTTCGGTTTCGGCTGTTTCTGTATTTCTGCAAACCCACTGGAATTAATAAGATGTATGGCAATAAGTGACAGCGGGATTCTGTCCAGAGCAGGCTCCAGTTCACTGTAAATTTCTATCACTTCCATAAGTAGCAGTACTTGTTTCGAGTGTTTTGTGTTGCATAGCATGGGACAGGCTACTAAATGGGCTCAGTAAAATTACAAACCCCAAAAAAGGGTGAGGGTAAGGAGGGATTTTTTTGGGGGGGTGGGGGGTATGCATCTTCTCTTTTCACTTGCATGAACCCACACCACTAACATGATTAGATTTTTGCCTGAATAGGAGGATTGAGTATGGCTTGAAGCAGGTAATTACCATGGTGATGTAGAAAGGCTCTTTTAGCTCTGTTTTAGTGTCAGGTGAATGTTTCACACTCCTGACTATGGGAGTCCATTTTGCTTGTTGCCACCATAATCTTTTAAATTACAGATTCTTTCAAAAATATGATGAAATGCCTACAAATTAAGATTTCGCTCATGTATTAAGAATTTTGACTATATGCCTTTCCAGCAGGAAGGTGGTATTTCTGTACACCTTTCCTCTCTACAACTTGAACTACATAGCAGAGAAAAATCAGTTACGACTACAGAGTGCTACCTAGTTTATGTTGCTAAACTGAGAAAGCAAAGTGATCCTGTATGATTAAGAGGGGGAAGTCACATTTATCATTAAATCTGAATATAGTTGGCTTCATTCTCCCCTTACTTTTGTCAAGGTAGTAGATAGAAACGGTTAATTCTTACACTGGAGGAGAGCAGAAGTGGGCCCATTTCTGATGGTGTGAGGTGTCCTGCCTTCCTGCTTGGAAACAGTACCTTGCTTGGGTTGGACGGCATGTGCAAACTGCAGCTAGAAGTTCCTGGTGTAAAAGGTAGTAAATACCAGCCTGAAATGCCGGTATCCACAGCACTGCAGAAGTGAGGAGAGTGCTGCCTTTCAGTTTAAAATGTCACAACTCCACAACCTGCTTTTTACAGTCCGCCTAGAACAAAAAGATGCATGATTTGTATTTGTGTTACCCACTGAATGAATAATATTTTCTTTAACTGTATTAAATATCTGAAAATGTATCTCACTTCTTTTTGCTATTTGTCATACTATAAAAACAGAGGCGGATACAGAATGTAAACACGGTGATTTATTTACACTTTCTAGAATAATTCTGTTGAAATGTATGGACTGTTTGCAGACATGGAGATATGCATCAGAGTTAATTCCTGTTAAAAATTTTATGTCAGATAATGGGGACTCACTGCATTTTCCTACACTCCTACGTTTTCTGCACTGTGGTAATTTTATTCTCTGTGTTTGTTAAAGGAATACGTTTAGGTAGTCCTTTTCTCTGGCACTGCCTATGGTTCCTTACTACAGCTCCAGTAATTAATATGGTAATTTAAAGTTACATAAACTACAAACTCTCATTACACTGTCCTAGTTAAACTCTTGTGTAATCAGTTGAAAATGTTTTAAGCCGTCACAAATTACGCTCATTTGCTCACTACCTCTCCTTTTTCTCTGGACCTTCTTGAGGTCCAGAAGCTACTAGTGTCACCAGGAGTATTCATAATCTCTCCTGTGGCTATTACTGCCCAAATTTTAGGGCATCTAATCACACTGTGAGAAGCATCCCATTGTTTCTGAGTGGTTGGCATGTATCCCTGTTCCCCGCACTTCAAGTCATCTGCTTTTCTGCCTTGGTGAGTTCATAAAAGATCACGTTTTGTCTTGAGTTGGATAGAGAACATGGATATTTATGCATTATTTTAATCAAATACTATGCCTGACTCACATTACATGGTTAATCTTGTGCTTTTTTTAGCTGAATTTAATGGTTATCTTCAAGGAGACACCTCAATAAGAGGAGAAATAGACTAAAATTTAATTTGGCTGTGTTATACCTAAAGCTGAGTTGGGGAAAAAGGTTATCAAGCTTCATCAGCATATGAGTAGATCTGCTTGGGCAGTATATTAGATATGCCGAAGAAAGTGGCCAGATGGCTAAGTCGGGGGAATGGGGGTGGGTAGCAAAGCAAAATAAACCCCTCACCTGTTTGTGACAGGAATACTGGCAACCCAGCAACGTATCTCCTCTGGCACCCAAAGTACTAATGTGAAGAGAGGTCTGAAAGTTTAAACAAAACCACTTGTTGTTAAACGAAAACAGTTGTTTCCTTAGCTATAATGAAGGAGACTTGAGCAGTTAAGTGAAACAGCACAGGTTGAGTGAAAGAGACTACTTATTCGACAGGGAATAAGATCAGACCTGTCCCAACAAATGACAGAGCAGAGAAGAGAAAACAAAGTGACGTTATCACTAGCCTCGCAATTAATCTACACTGCAATGCTAGTTAAAGAGTAATTACAGCTCGGACCCCTTGCAAATTCTTAGATCCATTGATTTTAAACCATCATCTCTCTCCAGAAAGAGAAGTATAATCTCAGAATCCTTTCAGAGTTGCAAGCCTGGTAAGACTTACAGTTTACAGCTGCGAGGACTAGGTCACGGTATAGCGCGGCCACTACAGGCCCACGGCGGTCTGCTTGTGTTGTAGGCTCTGTTGCATGTATAGCGAAATCTCTAGCCTTTGGGTAATCTTGTTTCAGTTTTTAAGCCTTATCTAGCTTACTGCTGATACTTGTGCCTCATGCTCTCAGTTGTGCAACAGTTCCATCAGAAGTGCGGTGACGCGGGTGTTGTGTTCTACCACATGTTCCTCTTAAATCTTAATTAACAATTTTGCAGTATTCTTGGATAGCAGTTCTGATTTTTTGACAGTTCGTCCTAAGGGAGACTATGGTATTTTTACGAAGTTAGCCTCTGCATTGTTAGGATCAGGTTTGAGAACCTAGGTAAGAGAAAATAGCAGAGCATCACAAAGAGAAATTTTTAGAAATGTCATGGAATTCTGAACACAAAATGGAAAATGTGGATCATTTATGAAGAGTGGGGAAAGTGGAGGCAAGACTAATTTTTTCTTTTCACTATTGTAGGGTTAGTTTCCACCATGCTAACAGGAATAAACAGGCTGCTATTGCTGAGAATTGAACCCTGGCTACTTACCAAGACATGATGCATACAGGTTCCGCTCTAGCAGTGTGATACTATTTTCCAGGTGAATAAGAAAGCAGTTCTGGAATTAAAATTTTATGTAAAGTTAAAATTTGGCATGCGTGCACAAGGTGAGTTCAAATATATTGGAGAGTTTTGACTAGGTGGCAACATAATTTACTCTTAGAGCTTAAAGGTGTATAGACCTCATGTATGAGGTCCAAACGCTGCAGCCTGAAGATCAGAAGGGCTCCAGCAGAGCTGTTTTCTTACATACAGCTGCTATTGCACAGAAAGTTACTAATCACGGTATCATTTTCTGTCTCCTCCTTCTTGTCCTAAAAACCCTGCTGTGAAAATCAAGCCAGTAAGCTTTTGCTAACCACAATATTTCTTTTAGTTCCCTTTCCATCAACAAACTTGTCTCTTAAGATCACTTTCACCAATAGACAGTCATTGTACTCGGAGCACTCATACCATGTTCTGTACCATCTTCTAAAACTTATCCTTTACCAAAAAAAAAAAAAAAATTGACAGATGTACTCTAGAAGAATCTGTGTAATTTTTGAACATTGTTGGGAATTTAACAAATCTGACAAACAAGGGGAGTTATGATACTTGATTTTTTTTTTACCTCAGCTGTAACAAACAAGTGAAAAGAAGTTATCTTGACTGTGAGTCCTCTAACAGCTGTGATTATTTCATACGTGCTTTGTCTCAAACAGAACGGCTGGTCTCATCATTTATGGCCTTATCTTCAGATAAATGATGGATTATACTAAAATTACTTTGAGCTTTCAAGTGAATTGCAACTAAGGGCAGGAAAATACGCTCCAAATGGCATGCTGTTAGTATTCTCTGTTGCACCATCATCTGGAAGAACTACAGATTTTGGTCAGTCGGGTGTCATTTACAATTTTCATTCCATTTGGTTTTTGTTTGATAGCAAAACTGTCCAGGTATCCGCTATATAACAATGCTAGCTAGAATGCTTGGTTACTATTTGTGGTGTTTATCTCCTTTTATTGTAGTTGAGTAGCATTTCTCTTATAGGCACAGAAAATGGGTAATAACTGAAGATAACCTCACAGCAGGAAAGTAAGATCGGGTTGGCAATGCATCAGTGAGTGGCATGATTGAAGACAAGATAAAAAGCAGGCTACAGCAAAAGGTAACTGGCAATATCTAAAGAAACTGGTACTGAATTTGGGCAAGGTCAATATTTAGACAGTATTTCACTGTTTGAGGTGAAAGCTATAATTAGAGTTAGGGCCAGAACAAAGAATGATTTAACCAAAACGCCTCATTTCAGCTAATTCACCTATTTCTTTCTTTACTTCTAGGTCATACAAGTTTTTCAGTTACTGATAGATTGTTGGCTGGTGGAATCTAATAATCAGCAGATGAAGTCTAGGAACTGAAATAGAAAATAAAACAGCATTCCTGAGTCCCCTCAGTTTTCTGAAAATTGAGAGGGATACGCTGAATGAGAGTACTGTGCCTCAGCATTTCTAGCTCAGAGGGACCCATGCAAATAGTAAAACATTCCAGAAAACCACTGAACAGCTGTACTTTTATGTTGGGGGGCTTACGCAAGGGAGAAAAATGCACTAGTTGACTTCCCTAAAAAATGTTCTGTTGGCAGTTATCCTCCATTTAACCCTGCTTTAGCATCGGCACGGCCTGGCCAGACCCTTTGCTTGAAGCAGGCAGCACATAATGTACAAAGATGCAGCCTGAACTTGTTTATCGAGGAACCGTGCATGCCCCTCCCAATCCAGCTTTATAGGATGTATGTCACCTTTTCATCTTTTTCTTTATAAACTCCTATTGGTTTTCATCTTTTCTCCATTCTCCCCTCATTCTTGTTAGCCAAGCCTAAAAGTTTAGACAATTTTCCTTCCCCCCCACCATGAGGTACATTAAGCCCAAGAGTTAGTCTGCTTACCACTCAATTTCTGGCAGTTGCTCAGGATTTCCTCCCTCCTCAGGTTCTTTACTTAATGCACAACAATCAGAAATGGAAAGCATGGGGCAGGAATCAACACCTGTTTTCAAAGTGGGACTCCAGCTCTGCTGTTAGATTTCTCTCTTTATTATTTTCCTCTTGGCTTTGTTATTAGCAGGTTACCATGATAAGACAATTACAGTTTTTCTCAAACCAGGCTTTGTTTCAGGTAAAAGATATTTCTTTACCCATGTGCTTCCTAAAAAGCACTTCAAAGGAAAAGGGTTCAAAAATATTTTGCCTTTAAGTACATTTTATGATGCTGTTCCATGTTCTTAAACATACCGTCAAAAAAATTCATGTCAGTACAGGACAGCCACACATCCAACCATTTGTTCAGCTCAATCGGTAATTTTCCTAGCACTAAAGTAAAGCTCATGTGGCATTTTGGAGGGCACAGCGCTACCCTTTCTGGGCATCTGCGCAGTTACGTTTGCTTGAGAACCAAGACCGCACTTGGTTCAGGATGCACTGATTCACAGCATCGCAGCAGAGCTCGCACTCTAGCTGTAACAGCCCTCTTGGTTTTGCTACCTCTGTTGCTGGTCCTCAGTACCCACAAGGAACGTCTCAGAGCCAGGACAGTAAAGAGAGGTCACTAGTGAATTTTATTTTCAAAATAGAGCAATACATTTTACTTTGAAAAAAAACAGGAAACAAGCTGTACAAATTTGGCAGATGAGCTATTTCGGTATCATTCTATTAAGTGTGCTGCCTTCCAGACAAAGCACTAGGGATCACAGTATCTGGTTTTTTTCATGGGTGATAATGCCTTTCACACTGACATGATTAAGGTGTCTGTATTTGACCTTTCATTCTCTTTGATTAACCCCTTAGCACCGCACTAGTCCAATTGACTTGTACAAAAATCACCGATACAGTGCTTTGTCTTTGTATTTGGCTACTCAGATTTCCTTCTAGTCCTCATAATGATCCGCCCTTAACAGGAGTTTTGTGCAAGTGAAAGCACAATTGGGCCTTTATGTTTTCCATGTTATACTTCCTAACGGTTACAATGATACTAACTTCTCTTGGGCTTAGCTGCATTACCATTTTAAAAGATTTTTTTTGTCTGAATAAACTCTTGTACTTTACCAGTTACTCATACTGTTTTCCTTCCTTTCTGCCTTTGGTTCCCTTTTTCTGACCCTAATGAGGTATTCATTAAGAAGCCTCCATGCTGATCCTTTGCTTTTAATCTTTTAACTTTTCCCTCCAGGCTGTTCCTAACATTCTCATTTCAGGAAGAAAAGTCTTTTCTGAGGCATAGTGTGATATTTTCCCACTGTAAGGATATCTAAATTAATTATATAAAAGAAACGTAATCAAGTGTCTCAGTCGGACACAGTCAACCAAATCCTATTACATATTGCTGAATTATGACACATGGAAGACAAAGCTTCCTCTGAACGAAGGTGTTGAAATCTAATGTCTATTTCCTTGCACAGAAATCCACAATACATTTGCTTCCCCAGTAAGACAAACACTATTTTTCAGCATGAAGACAAAAGAAAAAAAACGTTCAATGTGAGGTTTGTTTTCCCAGAGCCGTAACACTTTGACTAGTGGGAAGTTATGTGGAAGTCACTAGCCATGGTATTGGAAATGTAGTGATAAAACTTCCACGTTAGTTGGTTTAGTTAACATGGCAGATACTTGCTGTTTATGTTACTGCTATGCCCGTGTCCACATGGACATGGACATGCTGCATCTGTAGGTGTGCTTGTTTTTCAGTTAATGTTTTCGTTGCTCAAAGCAGAAGCTTCTATCAGTCACTTTAACCACGTTGGTGATAGGTAAGAAACACTGATGTGATTTGCTAGAGGTTTTTAGAGAGGGGAAGTCTTTTTAGGTAAAAATGAGCAACATGAACTACTCTCAGCCAACTCGTCTAATTTCCATTAGATTAGAAAGTGAAACACCTCTGTTTGACAGGGGCCTCTCCATTTCTGGAGTAGAAGCAGAGAATTAAGTGTTTCTTTTCTCTCGAGCTTTCTGACAGATTAGCCATTGTTGCAGATGAAGATAACTATTGCTCTGCACAATGCATTTCTAAAGATTGTTATTCATTAATTTACACTTGCCTTCTATTTTTGCGGGGGGTGAGGGAGTGTGGGGGGGTAAAAATAAAAAGCACATCTTGCAGAAGGGACTGCGTATTAAGCCTGTAGAGCTCATAGGTGCATCATGGCTTCACCTTGGTGATTTAGCTTAATGGCAGGAAAATGTCCTTTTGAGGATTAAGGTATAGGTAAGGCCTCACACACATCAGAATGTTCCCATGCATGTCAAAATGTTACTGGTGTGCTGCATGACCTGGAGCAAATTTATGTACGTAAGCTCTCTTGTAGCACCTTTCTTACTGTTTTACAAGAAAGTACAGGAAGGCAGTTCCTTGTACCAGAAAAGTAGAAGTAATGTTACCTTGCAGAATTCATTGCCCGTCATGTTATTATCTCACTTTTAACTAAGGAAAGTTGTTCAGGGGCCTACGTTGCATACATAATGTTAACTTTTGCCTCTGCGTTTTCTGGCTTAGCAGAAGAAGAGTAAAATGACTGTGGGAGAGTAGGCAAGTGACACCGTGGTCTCTGAATAAACTAAACTACCAGGACAAAGCGAGGAAGCCTCTATTTGGACTAACCTGAAATTCCACAAAGAAGTCCTATCACTTCCCATCTCTGTCTACAAAGTTGGAGACTTTGTAGTCAGAGCTGTGTCCCCTACCCTTCCTCCTGCAAACGTCTTTGCCTAGAAGAAGCAACAGAAACCTAATTAAAACATCACTGTCAGTAGTTTTGTACTAGTTACACCACTGATTTTGAGTTGCGTCTTTCATAGTAAAGCTGTAAAACAGAAAAAGGCCAAAGAACTTGCACCTAGATTGAGAAAAATCCTTTTCTCCCAGAAGTAGGTGATCTGGTTCATGAGGACACAATTGCAGCTTTGACCTTTCCATTCCATTTTCTATTGTGATCTCCGCCAGTGACACAAAAGATTCTGACAGTGACTGCATATTGCTGTGGGCATGTCACTCATGCATTAACCATTTTAGAACATTATCATTTCCAATTTAGATGCATGAAATCCCATTTTCTGCTAAATGAGGAACAACCACTATATGAATAACCAAGAGTTTAAACTTACGTAAATTTTACCTGTTTTTACCCAGAGGCTGGTAAGCGTCTAGTTACTGACCTCACTCAGTATCTGGACTTTCAGAGAGTAGATTGTGATACCCCTCTTATAGCCAGTCCTTATCTGGCTATATTGATTTTTTTTTTTTTTTTGGCTGTCTCCCTATTGTAATACTTATTTTCCATCCTTTAATGACACGTTATTTTGTTATTTGAACATTCTTAACAGAATTTGAGAGGCGTTTTACCCTTCACTACATTTTTTTCTTCCTGGACCAAAAAGCAGAAGAGGCCAACGTTTCATGACACACTACGTTTCATTTCACACACATTACGTTGCAGTACAGCTACCCATAATAAACTAAAAGATAGAACCATTTACCTTTGTCATTGGCTCATCTCAATTAATAAAAGCTGGGAGTGTGGAGAGTCTTCATCACGGGAGGCAGGGGAGTCTAGAGGAGAAGTGAACTGTGTACCTGTTGCTTCCCCCCAGCTGCCTGTGGGAGTAGCACCACATCCCTGTAGAAAAAGAATCTGTGTTGCAGAAATTGCTCTGGCGCACAGCCGTGTTAAGTGAGACACATTTCTAATATTTCCAGCTTCAAATTAAAATACATTTCTAATATTTTAGGCTTCAAGTTAAAATACAACAACGTATTAGAGTTTTATATGCTGCAAAAACTGTGAGGAAGAGCCGATACATACACGTGTCCTCTGATGTCCTGGAGTCAGTAACGGAATAACAGTTTGTGATCAAGGAATGCCCATGAGACACTAATATTTTGGGGCTCAGGTCTACAAGCCATAGTCTACGTGAGTAGCTGTTACTCTCAGTGCCCCAAAACATTACTTACACGCATCTGATCATCAAGTGATAAATCCCAGAATGCAAAGAATAACCTCTAAAGAGGCAAAGATTTCATTCGACTCCCAAAAGAAAGATTTGTGTAGCACTCCTGAAGTTACTAACCTCTCACTCCTTTCAGCTGCATAAAATTAATTTCCACATGCTGTGAATTTTCA